AAGATATTATATACTATTATACAGTGAGATATTATCATAGTAGATGATGAGGGAATACAGACAGTTATATGTATGATAATACATGGGCAAAAGATAAAAATAAAGACAATAACATTATTATTCATAGGTAAATATGCAGATTTAATATATTCAGATATTTAACAGCACCTGGTGAAAAATGTACCATAAGTACATTGATAGCTGCTATGGACAGCAAAGAGATTATTAGGACGGAACATATGCAACAGATAAATATGCGAATTCAATGTATTCAGATATTTAACAGCACCTGGTAATAAATGTACCATAAGTACATTGATAGCTGCTATGGACATCAAAGAGACTGTTAGGACAATACATATGCAACAGATAAATATGCAAATTCAATATACAGATATTTAACAGCACTTGATAATAAATGTGCATATGCAAAAGATAACATTATTATTCATCGGTAAATAGGCAAATGCAAGATATAAGGATACTAAACAGCACCTGGTATTAAATGTACCATAGGTACAGGGACAGCTGTTATAGACAATATTACTTGATTGCACTTAGAAAAAGATGCTGAGAGGGGAATATACAAATATTTGACTGCTGCTATGCACAGCGACTTATAACAGATGGATTACAATAGATTACAATGGTTACAAACACTTATAAGCATAAAAATAGATGGGTTATAATATATATAAGCAGTTGAAGAAGTTGAATCATATGTCGATATTATAAGGCACAAAGATTCCCAGATTCATCAGTTTGTCAATTAAACGGACTATCTTTTTGACTTTATGCCGTTGCTTAATCAAGAAACGACTAAAGGCAGTCCTATCCGTTGGTGGAAAAGGAATATGGAATTCAGTAGTAAGTGGACAATCGATTAGATAGTGTTCTGGATTGCCCAGTTGTCCACAACTACAGAGTGCTGAGGAAGAGAGTCCATGTCTCTCGAAATATAAGGGAAAAGGCCCGTGGCCCGTAATATAGAAGATCAGCTGTGGTGGCATGATTAATCGGTCTAAATCTACTTTAGGGACATGGGCAAATGCTCGGCGACCAGTTTCCTCCGAACTCCATGCATTTTGCTACAAGGAGATGGCTGTGAGAAGTAAGTGACGCTTTAGAATAGATACTGGGCGTGAAACCGTCAAGGTCTGTGTTATCTCGTGATTCTGTGCTGCTTCTTTAGCAAGCCTATCGACAGTTTCATTATCGTAGTTCCCCACATGAGCTTTTGTCCATTCTAAACAAATGCGTAGATTTTTATGTCGAGACAAGCTAGTTTGAATGTCCACAATAATGGGGGATGAATGCAGAGGATTTAAAATGGCATACAATGTGGAGAGACTATTGGTAAGAACATAGGAATGTGAATATCGATGATTAATGATTGTTTGTATGGCTTGTCGAATAGCAATAGCCTCATTCTGGAAGACGCTGTTAAAAGAAGACAGATGACATTTCCACTGGTGAAGAGTTGTCTGATCTTGCAGTGTGACTATATATGCACAGCCAACCTGATCTTCCAATTTAGAGCCATCAGTATAAAAGACCAGATCAGCATGAGAAACTTGATGACTCGGTTTGAGATTAACTTTAACTCCCGTTCCATAGAGGGAGGGGTGTTGATCTTCTCTGTTTATTGCTGCTTCGTAATCATGGGAGGAGAAAGAGTGATCTCCAAACTGAACTGAACAGCCAAGTTGTCTAATCAACTGATAAGCTGCGTCCTTTTCAACCGCAATAGGTAAAGGCAAGACTCCAGCTGCAACTGCAAGGGCGAGCAGCACATTGCTTTCGAATAGCTGAATTGGTAGATTAAAATGAGAGATAAATATCTTACATTTTTCCGAATAGCAACAGTCTGGCGCCCTGGAGAATACTTCCTTATAACATTTGGCGGCAAGAGTTTGAAAAAAGATTTGGTCACAAAAGTCATACGGACAAAAAATGAGATTTAGCACTTATTTAGTCAATTGTCTTATTGTTTTATTTTACAACGTAACTCCGTCTTTGCGTAGCAATGAATAATAAAATTAACAAGATAAATCAGCTTATGAAATTAATCAAAAATTTCACTGTCGACAATATTTTGGTTAAAATTTTTTAAAATTTTATTAAACATTAATAAACATCGTTCAGCTGAATGCGTCCACGCCAAGCGCATTTTTTTCTCTTGGCGTTTTCTATTATTAGATGATTATAAACTTTCTGTTGATCTTTTTCCATAGATTAGCTATTGTCTAAATTGCAAGTGATTAGCTTTACTTATAATACATTATAAACTTTATCATTTCTTATAGGAGCCTCTATTATATTGATAGCTTGAAGAAATAATACGAGGTTAGATAATTTCATTCAGAAAATATGATATCCAGGTTCAACCATTTAAATCTCAAGGTTACATTGCCATAGGAGATGAACAGCGCGATAGCGATTGTTTATTTCGCATTCTTTCCTTAAAGTTGTCTAAATATATCTGTGTTTTCAATTTTGTTAATTTATTTAACAACCACTCCTTGTGTCTCATAATAATAGCTGTTGGTGAATTTAAGTTTTCCCATAATAATAGTAGCGTAATAAATATAGAATGCAACATTTATTATCGAAAAATATATTAAATTAAAAAATAAATAAAAAATATTACTCTTAATTTTTGTGTTGAGTGTTCAAATAGTTTATCGGATTCTTCAATAATTTCGTTACTGCATTTTAAACTTGCAAGTAAGATTCCTTGGTTATGAAACTTTCCTTTCGCTATATACGTGAGCTTAAAATTATTAGAACAATCATTCGTCATTGCTTCCTACATAATTTATTGAACTGACAAAAACGTGTTATCCAGTGCTTCGAGAGAAATATTATCAAAGGTTTTGTTTACTGCATCTATGGTGTCCCTTCTGCTAAGAGGAATATTTCTTAACTTTTCAAGTTTATCACCATAATCTTTACATATACGTCCACAGTTTGTTTTTTCAAAGAATCAACATTACCATAAGATTCACCTTGACAATTATTTTTGGAAGCACATTTCCTTTTGCACGTGATTTTGCTGTACTTAGATTGTTTTCCAGTTAACGTAATTGCACCTTTCTGAAACTTTTCGTTTTTCTTAAGATGCACCCAAAAGTGGACAGTCACAACTCGGCTTTTGCTTGAAAACTCTCTTTCTTTCGTCTTGCTTTTACAATGGGTTGATATTCTGCTGGAATAAAACAAATGATTTCGATTAGCGGATAAAATTAGAAAAATAGTTATAATTCATAATCATTAAGTTAACCTAAAATTTGAAAATGTGTCAAAAATAATGGCAGATATCATGAAACACTGAGTTTGATTGAAGACTTTGCAGTTTGTGCTACAACATTCTCTAATAATTTATTAATTAATTTATTAAATTATTAATTAAGTATTACTTACACACACTGGCCAATGAATAAGAAACCCAAGATCAATATTTTTTCGGACAACCACCTTTTCCACGGATAACTGCTCTGATTCACTTGGACATGGGCATCATGTCTACATGCCTCTGGAATGCATTTACGTCCAGAGAATACCACGCATTGGCTATGCAGCTTTTTAATCTTGTAAATTAGACAGAGAAGGAGAGTGCTGTCGGATACGTCCTTGGGTGAAAATGCAACATTTCAGGGGGCACTTGATCTGCCAGTATATCTAGGTAACTCATAGCTGTTTGTTTACCCTCGAGGAACACCAGGGCACTACTTCCATGGCATCAGAATATGCTCCATATCATGATACTCCCACCAGACCCTTGCATATTGCGAGTAAGGCAAGATGAAGATGGAATCATGGCTTCATGGGATTCTCGCCAAATTCGACGTCTTCCCCCCATCTGTGCAAAATAAGGTGTAGCGTGATTCTTTCAACCACATTACCAGTTTCCAGTACTCAAATGACCACTGTCTTCTTTCTTTACATCACAGCAAACGACTTCTTGCATGTCGGGAAGAAATGAGAGGTTTTCTCACAGGCACCCGTATATGCATTCCTATCCTCTGGAATTCTCTGCACATGGTTCGAGCTGAAATCTGTTGGGAAGAGCTTTGATTGACGATCTGTGTCAGTTGAAGCACAGTAGAGTCCCTGCTCTGCCGTGCAGTTCGTCGGAGACCACGCCGATCACTCTCTTGGAAAACTGTGCTCGAACCACAGTTCTAGGGAAGAACTGTGGGTTCTGATTCCAAATTTTGAAAACCTCTGATATGGCTGCTTTTGAAAATTCTGTGAGATTTTCTGTCTTCGAAATCGAGGCCTCTGGTAAATAAGAACCAACAGTAAAGTTGTCTCTTGCGATATTTAGCTTTCTAATTTATTTGTATATTCAATCGTTCTATTTTCAGGTCACGTTACGTAGAAAAATCCAACATTCTAGAAGTGGACTATATCTGTAAAACACCTATACGTTAACTAACAAAAATAAATGACTACAGAGGCCAGGTCGATGACGATTGCGGTGTATAGAGCTGGAGGCTGTTTTTAGGTGGGCGCAAGGGCCAATCTATTATCATCAGCGGCAGGGTTTCTGAGCATTTTAAGCAATTTTTATAAAGCGGTACGGAAGCGTTATGCCTGGTAACTTGGAGGAAAAGGAATAATCACTGTCGGAATTCAGATGGAAAACATTCTTAAACGTTTATATTCATTTCAATTGTTCTTTCTTGCATTACCTCGTTTTATTAACTATCTTGCTTGAGAAACAAAAGGGATCCGAATTCTTAAAAGGCAGATATTACATGTATCATTATGGAGTAAAGTGACATTTAATTATTGTCATCATATGCGTTTTAATTATTTGTAACCAAACGTTTCTACTTGCGTATATATCTCACACATGCATACAACTTTCGATTTATAAAGCAACTTTATTTATAATTCGACATGCAAAATGTCGTTGTAAGAATAATAACGTATTATGGAACTTGAAGAATAATTCAAATTTTAATGACTCAAAAATTTATCTTTATTTACAGGTGAGTTATTCTGTCCGAGAACATTTGATGGCTGGGGTTGTTGGAACGATACCCCTGCAGGAAAAACTGCTTACATTCCATGTCCAAGTTTCATAACTGGGTTCCTTCCAGAAAGTAAGCTTATTTTTATTTTTTCTAATAGTTGTTTTCTTCCGCTGAATTGAACTAATCAGAATCTCTTTTTCAGTTGTTTCTAAAACTTTGAAATAAATAGTTTATTCATTCTTACATACGTTCTTTACATACTTCGTCTTCACAAAATTCCTTACTCAGCGGTCCACAGCGGCAGAGCGGTAAAACCGCTGAACGCTTGGTACTTCGATCTGGATTAGATTCCAGATGACCGGGCTGGCTGCACGGCTGTTTTAGCGTCTTCCCCCTCCCCCATGTGTAACATGGACACGAGCCAATTTCCCATGGAAAGTCCTCCACGGAAGTACCCCTTAGGCAGATTGTCATCGCGTTCTTTGCTGTAATCAAACAAACCAATAAACTTCATCCTGCATTTATTTTAGAACCGTTGACTATAGGCATATATTTCCAAATACAAAAATGTGTGTGTATTAAATGCCTTAAATATAAAAAAAATAATTTAAATAAAAAAATTGTATTACAAAATCTACTATGTAAAATTTACGAAATCTATTTATACATACATTTCCACGGGCCCTTAATTCATATTAAGGTGTAGGATTCTCCACTGTGTATTTCTAAGTTACAGTTGAAAGTGAAGAACCTTAATAACTAGTAAGCGAATAATCGCTTGAGTTCGTGAGATAGAAAACAACAAGTAAGAAGGGTGAAATAACTCTTTATTATTCCAACTAAAGTTTAACAAAACTCCGTCTTGGAGTCTCCATCTTGGATAAAGCCGACACTTGGGCGTGAAGTTAAGAGACTAAGAATTAAACTAAACTAATCGTAACTAAAGAGATATAGCCGAAGCTATCAAAATTCTAAGAGTTGGCCCCTTAACGCTAATTGACTGCGAAGCTATCAACTACCTAAAGTACGGCCGAGCGTAATAATGGCTTACGAGAGAGTAGCCTAAAAAGGCGGACGCGTGCAGCCAGAATATCTGATATCTCTCTCTCTAAGACTGTAGAAATTTTATTTACCGCTTCTCATTTAAATACCGCTCTTCCTCATTAGCATTCAGACGTGATTCTAAAACTACGTTCTGGCCGTGGTAAGCTGAAATTAAGAATCGATAGGAAAGGAAGTTTAACTTAAAATTTAACTGTTAATAAAATTAACATAATCCTTACAAAGGAGGCTATGTTCATTATAAAATGCACAGCAGAAAAAGTGTAACTCCAGTACAGCAAAAATTCACCAAAATATTTAACTTTAAATATGGACATCATACTCAGGAGCCGCATGTAAGTCGAAGAACGAAATGTCTGCATTTATACTTCTAAAAATAAAATATTAGTTTAGAAAAAGATTTCGATGCTAACAGATTGGGTGACAGATATTTCCGCGCATATTATCATAAAAAGTATTCATTAGTATTAGAGAGCTTATTCGCGGAATCTTAATGAATTCTGTTCAGGGAAAACACTGATTTAGCTTCAGTACTGCCATACTGCCAACTCGTAATCTTATCAGCATAAATTAAAAATTTTAAATATTTCTATGATGAAATTTAAATATTTCTATAATAATGAATTTGTATAGTTTCTAGATTATAATTCTAAACTAGTAAATCTGCATGAGAATGTAATAAGGTCTCTCTAACGTTTTAAAGTTCATAAATAATTTCTGTAAAAATTCGTATACCAATTGTAACCAATTATAACAAAATTCTAAATTAAAGATTATTACACGCTATTTAATCACAAAAGTATACTTCTGAATAGCATTTAAAGAAACAAGAAACCAACTTCGAACTATACTAATATATTAATCAATTGATTCCTCAAAAGAAGTAGAAAACAACTTCAAAAATCTCTTATTTTGAAATCAAATATCTTGTTCAATTTTTGTAGTTAATTTTTTTTTCTTTCTTATAATAAGAATGACATTTTCCTAAATATAAGTATTGGGACCGGCGAATCTATAACGAATTAGATTCAGTATTTTATATTGAATGAATTTTATTGAATAAATTTTCTTAAATTTAAAAATAACAAAACGTGACTCGGTCCGTCATTTAAAGCATTTTTTGCAATTGAACGTACATTCTATAACATAAAAGGCGACTCACCAGGAAGGAGTTTCCGAATGGGCCAAAATTGGTAGATGTGATGTAAATGTATTGAAAACAAAAACTAACAGTATCCTAAGAGTTAAATGTTTTATTCACAAAATACAGCTACGAGAGAAAAGAGTCTGTAATGCGTTGGCCCTCCTTGATGCCAGCTGTGATCTAGATTGGGATTGACTCGCACAGTTGGCGGGTATCCTCTTATGATTTTGTTTCTCATATTCGTTCGAACAGGAGAATTAAATCGGCACAATCCAGGGACGGTGTGAGATCCCTACTCATTAGTCTAAACATGCTGTACTGGGAAGAGATCTGGCGGTTGCGTCGACTAGGGAAATATTGGAGAAGGAGAAGGTAGAAAGGCCGTACCATGTGCGGCCGGGCATTATCATATTCAAATATAAGTCCAGAGGCCCGTGAAGGAAGGGAAACACTACAGGGCGCAGAATCGAATCGATATACCGTCCTGCTGTAACGATGTCATGGATGGATAACCAAAAGGTTCAATTGAGTAGCCACCGCTGTCCTAGACGCCTCCAGATACATCTTGGCTAACAATGGGGGCTCAATTCAAAGCAGAACTCGTCGTTAAAATATTATACTCGGTTCGTGAGATGTCAGGATGAATGCACTCGACAGCAGTGCAAACGTGCCTGACGCTGTGCAACGGTCAGGGGAAGTCGACGCAGTGGCATCCGTGACCTCACTCTCATTTACTAAATCGTATATGTGTGGTTTTTGCAGCGACTGGTGTCCTGGTTCCGCATCGGGTCATCGAAAATGAGGCATCAGGGGTTGTCAACTCTGATTTTACATCACACTGTCCTCGCGTTCTGTCATCGTTTTCGGTCGAAGGCTACTCTTTTTTGACGCTGTGTACGGCCATGGTTCACCCATTCCTTCAAACATAGTCGAATGGTAGCATCTCCTCAACCCATATGTCTGGTGATCTTGGTGTCTAGTGATCCTGACCGTGCTTCCTTTAGTTCAACTGCGTATTCTTTCTCAAATAGTGACACCTGCTCATAAGCTTCGCGAGTATCAGTAAGGTATTGGTACAGTACTCTTTCTTGATGCGTCGCGTTTCATGTTACAGAGTGTCTACGCCGAAACGGTTGCAAGAATAAAGTCTTTTGTGGACATGGTGTTTAAGAGGATATATATATGTATGTGTGTGCGCGTGTGATTTAAAAACCTCTGCAAACAAAACCGCTGTCGCATGCTCAGACATTGTAGAGCATATTCACCCCGTATGCAATTTTTAATAATTCATGACACATTTAATTTTCTGTCAGTGTTGCATAAATCTAAAATATTCCTAACACGTTACCGTTTGTTTAGCAAGAAATTTCGAAGCTTCCGATCTGTGAATTTTAAAATTAAGAATTCTAAAAATTATAATTTTAGATTTTGGTATTACAATGAAGCTAATTACAAAGGGACAGGATTTCGTGCTGTAAAACAATGCTTGGTATTCTAATTTGCAAAATTGTTTAAATTTTTGATGTTGTTCCTTTGGATATAATAATTATTCAATTACAGGTATAATGACAGAGATTAATCACTTTCTGGAATCATAAGGTTATATCGATGCTGGAACGTGAAAAATGTGCGATACCCTCACTTGGATTCGAACACCGAATCTTCCGAATAAGCGTTGAAAGTGCGGTTACACCACGAAGTTTGAGAAAAGGAAGGAGAAAATAATTTCTATACTCACTCAATTAAACGGGACTGGGGATGAGGAGACGCAATCGCCAAATGCTAGGGGGGGGACAAATTATCGTTCACCAACTTTTTTAGTTAAAATGTCTTTTGATAAAGTCTTTTATAGTTTCTCAACGTCAGGAAACTGAAGAAATCTGCAATGGCCTCGCTGGAATTCGAACTCAGTATCTTCCGAATACGCATGTAGCATACGGAAAGGAGGGAGAAAATACCTTTAACCTTTTAGTTATGAAGCTTTTCTGTTACTTGCGATTTATATTTTGTAATAAATTGAACATATTTAAGATTTTTAAGAGGATATTTATTTTAGGAATGCCCGAGTAGTGTGTTGTTCTAACAAAAGATTTGTTTGCTAAACAAAAGATTCAGTATATCTTTCCTGAATTTCATATTGTCTTCAAAATTGTTCTAGAACCCTACCAAGGACCTTTAGTAAATATAATGAACTATTTTAATGAGAAAATTATAATACGATAATCAAAGTTTGTTTTGCTAGCTAAAAATGTGCACTGAATATATTGTGAACGACTTCAAGAATTTTCATGCTCAAGTTATTTACCAGCAAATATCCGTACTGTCTTAAAAAAACGTAACTTAAAATGTATATTTTCGAAATCTTTCTTTTGCTTTTTTATGAGATAAGCAATGCATTTCTTCCTCAAATATTCTTTATCTCGTATCCTTTTGTTATATGTTGGCCAAACAAATGTGCCTTTTTGTTCCTGAAAGGTCGTTCATTCTTGATCCTTTAGAAACTCTTTTGAAAACAAGTCAGATCATTTTATGGTAGGATATTCTATCACGAGAGAGAGCAAAGAACTTCTTTTTTCTGTTGAATTGTTTTCTTTGATGTACTGAAAATTATTTCCGTCGATGAGATAAATATCAGTGCGAGATAAGGGAAAGGATTTTGCTAAATAAAGTCCTAATTTAATTTTTAAGTTTCAAATATGACTTTTCTAATTTGTAAAAATGTTACCATGCTTTAGGCTAACTGTCCTCAGAATGCAGTGTATCAATTTAAAATGAAGTTTTTGCGACAAGGAGTATGCATATAAATTAAATTGCCTGTTTTCAACTAAACAACATTTTTCTCTAGAGAAAGTTACAACTATTTCTTGAAGTTGCATAGGTTCAATTTCTCTTTTGCACATTGAACCGACGCTGACTATAAAGCGGGATCAGTCCCACTTATTTGAAACAGAAGGCAACCGGAGACCATTAAAAGTAAGAAAAAAATGTAGCTGTTTCCACATGTCATTACATTACTAATAAACTTAATGAATTCATTTTGATCAAAGTTATAAACATGCAGGTTTTAGTGAACTGAGTCGAGATATGGTATTCCCCTCCTTTGTAATTATGAATTTTTTTCATAAAAATTCCGATCACCTTTTTGAGCTTATACTGCACTAAGGTAATTGCTTGATTTAAGAATTCTTTTTCAGGATCAGCGCACAAAGAGTGTAATCCTGATGGGAGCTGGTATAGGCATCCTGATACTAATCGTACGTGGTCTAACTACACCACCTGCGTCGACAAAGATGATTTAACGGTGAGTTTTTTTTTTTTTTTTTTTTTTCTGTTTTATTCTGATTTATTAATTATTCAAATTTATGCTCTATAATTCAGTGTTCTTGGCAAAGGTTGATTCATTTCTTTGCAATATTACCTGAGACAAGTTTTTGTATATTTTTACTTCTTTATCCGAAGTAAAAGAAGTATTATAACCGCAAAAATTTCGGTTTTCATGTTTCAACGAAATATTCATTTTAACTATTTTTTTTTTTTTTTTGCGTGACGTCTGTACGTATCGACAGAATAAAGGGCATTTTATTCCAAAAGGGATTGTAAAATGTACTTTTTTCGTGATGTACGTAAGAATTATCTGACATAATTCAAAAACGATTAGCCGTCGGCCGTTAATATTTTGTATATACGACTGCTGTAACATCTTTTTGTGCACATCTCCTTTTTATTACAATCGGCAGAGCCAAAAGTGTATATATATATATATATGTAAAACCTCTTTAGCCGGCTTAAAAGCTTTTACTCATCCTTTTTTTTTTTTTTTTTTTTTTTCTTTTTGGCAATCGTTGGTCATAGTCTTATATTTATAATGACACAAGTGTTTTAAATGACAGAAATATTCCGGTTTTTTTTTTTTTTTTTTTTTTTTTTTTTTTGCATTTCAAACTAAAATAAGTTAATTTTGGGGAAATAAATTAAATCTCGTTTTTAATGCGGTTTACTGGCTCCTATGAGAGATTTTCATACTCGTTACGAAAAAAGAAAAAACATTTGACAAAAAGTGATTGTTATATTTAATTTCAAAATTTGCAGTTTGTATGTCATTTTCAACTTGTTTTGAGAGATTGGTTAATTAAATTAGACTAATTCAAGGAAATAACTTTAAATGAAGTGCAACGAAAACTGTGTATAATTTAATAGCCGTACAAAATTGTCATATGGTGTCTACAACAGATATTTTTCTTTCCAAATTTGAAGTCATGGGCATTTTATCTTGAATACATACGCGTAATTTTCACAGTTAATTAAAAAGATATACTTATGTAAAAGCATCCAACAAAATTGATTTCAGGTATATAAACTGAAAGCAAAAATGACTGGAAGTTGTATAATAAATCGAAACATCCAAAAAGGAAATTTCTGGATTATCAATTCCAGATTTTTACATCTTACGAAAGAAGTTAATTTTCCAATATGTGACGGTTACGGGTTTTTCAGTAATAATCAAAAAAATCTAGAATGATGTTTCTTAGTCTTTGAAAGCGATCAAAAACACCGATGAATTTTTTGAGATCGTCTTATTGTGAAAATTACCAGTAAAACAGAGAGTAATCCCCGAATATCTAGAACAGAAGGTTAACGATCCGAAAGCAAAAGTTCACAAATTTTATGCTAACATTTCCCTTTAACTTTGTTTAAAAGGACGTTTATGTATGCTTAAGTGTCTCCTTCAAGAAACAAAGCAAAAAATAGTTTTTATTCATTCACATTATTCTTAATGAGACTATGTTTGTACAAATTTATTTAAACTAAGTACTGCAATATCTGTTAAGAAAACATTACAACTGTTCCGTATTTTGGCATGGTGTACATTTAATAATTGACACATATCTCAAGTTAATTATTTTTCTGTAAATTTTAGACAGTTTCTGTAAATTTTAGAGAGTTTAGTGTACATAGCTGCTGTACAAGTAAGCATAAAAATTGCGTTATCGTTTCCTCATTTCGGATGGGAACCACACTTACATTAAAGTTTTCTTAGTAGAAGTAAGGCCCACCAGCGGCCGAGCGGTAAAGTCGCTGAACACTGGTAGTTCGGTCCGAGGTTCGAATCCCGAGAACGGGCTGGCTGCAGGGGAATTTTCGTGGTTTTCTCCATGTGTAACGTGTATACGAGCCAATTTCCCCTAGAAAGTCCTCCACTAAGACATCCCTCCCCTTAGGCAGATAGTCCTCGTGTGCTTTGCCATAATCACACACACCACTTAGTAGAAGTAAACGTTCAGTTTTCAGTGCACTGAAAAGTGAATATTATTGAAGCCTTCTCGTAAGGTGACTTTTCATTTTAGTGGTTCAATACTTATAATTACTTAGTTTTAATAAACTTTTTGACTTATTCCAAATACATATCGTGGTTAGGAGAAAAAGACAAATGCAGAAAGTTAATTTCTGTATTTCCTTTTAATTATTGTACCTGAGGCAGTTAGCATTTAAAAAAATGTTCGTAAGCAAATTTTATTGCAAAGGCAAACAGAATGGAATATTGTGTAATGGATCCGGGTTTCGAACCATGAAGCCATAATTTCACAACCCAGTACGATATCCCTCCACCATTAAGGCTTAAGGTCAGCCGAACTCAAAAATATACTTTATTAGAGCCTTAAACGCCCTCTTTTCTTGCCTTCTTCTGAGAGGTGCGGGCTAGGGGTTTTCAAATGCATTGTTTTAAAGGACCCTATAAGTGTATGAAATTCGGGCGAAATCGTTATTTTCGAGGCCATGTGCTCTCCACCATATTCTTTCTCTTCCATCTTATAACGGATCTAAAGGGTGTTTCAATAAAGATTCAGTGTCTCAGTAACTCTTAAACGATTGGCTAGGCTTTGAGACCTAGAATTTAAGAATTAGAATTTCGGTCCATTACACCTAGTAAATTTAAATGTGACGACTTCGTAGAAAAGAGACGTGAGGAGAATTTTAAATTCCTTTATTTGTTATTTTTAAGAAGCAGATTTTAGGGAAGCTATATAACTATTGTTAAAGAGACTGTTGCTCGGTTAAATTTTAGCGTACATATTTCTAAAGATATTTTTAACATTTACATCAGATAAAGCTCCGAAATTTTTATCTTGCATAATTAAATTTTATACACCCCTAAAATCAAAGCTTCTTTGTCATTTATTTTCATCCGGGGGGGATAAATGTGCAATCAATTCATTATTATCAATGTGTTTCAGTTTTACATTTACATCAGATAAAGTAACGAAATTTTTATCTAGTATAATTAAAATTTTATACAGCCCTAAAAAATCGAAGCTTTTCTGTCATTTGTTTTGATCGGGGGGATGTGCTTTAATTCTTATAATTCTGAAAAATTTTCGAAACAGTTTTGCATATTACAAAGCCTTTTGTTACTTTTTGTACAATAAAGAGCTATTTATTGACAAAAACTACCTTTTCTGGATTAAGAAACTAATTTTTATATTTTTATGAATATGTGTCATACGACTAAACTTTTTTTCGTAGCATATAAGTCTTTTATAGTCGTATTTCGTTCATTTTAAAATTAGGACAATGTTTCTGTGCCAACCTTTCAAGAGAATTTTAGTCGTTGCCTTATCTGTTTCATATTATGTATGTTATTTTACGATTTATTTCCTTTCATTATGAGATATAACTATGTATTTTTCTGTAAATTCTAAATTTCTGCTCATCTGTCAAAAAAAGAGCATTGAATGTAATGAGTTTTACTTTTTAAAAACCTGATGAGTGCATTTGTTACTGATGATATTCTACATCTTTCAAATTAAATGTTATCATCAACGTGAGAGAACTAAAAGAAGTTAATATACGTTCCACTGATTCAAAGTCAGTTTATGCTTAGGTAAGTAGTGCTATTTACGGTACAATAATGCGCTTTTAATTCCCTGCTTCTAATCAGAAGTTCGAGAGTTTTCTTTAACTTCTGCTGTTACGGCTACGGTTTTAATTAGCCTGGGTTGATTTAACTTTTTTCTTTACTTATTCTGGTGTGAAATCCTCATTTTCTGAAAACTTAATTGACAAAGAGTCCTTCCTTGTGCCTCAAATTTACTACTCATGACCCTAAGTAAACCCAAAAGGTTGATTTTTAAATGTCTGCAATTTTGACAGGGACTTCATGCGCTGCTGAATCCATTTAGGCTAGGACGTTAAAACAACAATTAAGCTATTTACTTTAAGTTCGAGATTTTGGAGAAAGGTACAGCCTTTTGTTATTTGATAATTGGAAGTTAGTATAGTTGGTAAATGTAAAACGTAAAAATAAAGTCTTCTTGTATAGATTTTAAAGCCGATAAGTGTTGTATTCACAGTCACAAATGATAAGTAGTTAACATTATTATACTGCTTATAAAGAATGTAGTAATTCAAAGTACTTGAATAAACTACCTGATTAAATAAATATAATTAGGGCTGAAGACATAAAACTGTTATGCAGTCGAAATTCGTGTGAAATTGAAAGCCAACCATTAGTATAATCTACAAAAAACGTTAGAATTTAAATTATTTCCTGCACTTTCTTTACATATCGTGTATCGTATCATAAAGCAAAAGTATGTGTATTTGAATATACTATACAAAAACATTAGAACTTATTAATGTGGCATTGGCATATAAAATAATATTATTGAAAAAAATCTATATGGGCCATACATGTGTTATTATTAATACTAATGGGGAATTTAAAATTAATAATGTTAAGTTCCATGTATTAAATTTTAAATCACAAATTTTGATGCAATGATGATACTTTTACTGTCTGAAAAATAAATTAGAGATTTCATTTCTCATGGATTGGCATTTTTTCGAAAGTGAAAACCCTCTACGTCGAGTGAAGGCTTTAAAATAATGTTTGATTTTCATGACAAGTATTGTAAAAGTTATATTGCCCACGGAAATACATACTGGAGAACTAGAGATAAACTAGTCGTATTGACAAAACTGGAGAATGTATATCGCTCATAGAACGTCTTTTCCTTAACCGTTTCAGTCCTAATGAGTTATACAAGTCCCAGTAGGTGTTTAAAGACGCCTAGAGGGAATTTACTACATAAATTTACTACGTACTTGATGTCCTACTGGAAGTTGGAATCATTTCTAGCGTCCCCACAACAAAATTATCGCGCGCATCTTCTTATAGAGGCTTAGTGAATTTGTTTATTATAAGGCAAGCATGTACTACGTCTTTAGACTTGTTTAGTTTCTGGTTTTGCATGAAATACGTGTAAAAAATGTCTAGGTAAGTTTGTTGACATTCGATTACCA